ATGAGCATGTAACATACTTTTGTTTTATTTCATAAAAAGAACAAATCATGATTTTAACTTCTTTTCTTGCAGTTTCGTGAATTTCTTTTGTCCTATAATCGCCTATCGGAAATGTGTTTCGTAGACTGTGTAATGGACTTCACATCACGCAAAGTTTCTGATAATGAGGTAAAATAACGCACGCTACCTATTCACACAAGCTGATTCCAAATAATGTGTTTAACTAAAGACAGCCTTGTTTCACTAGTGCATTGCTATGTTGTCTTGATATTCTATGGGGAACACTCGTTAAAAAACTATCATGTCAGTAAGGAGGTCATTTTACTAGTAAAGGGGTAAAGAATCAACTAGAAACGGGAAAATTGTTTATTTGGGGATTTGTACTCTTTATCAGTTACATGATTACTGTTTTATGAATGTATTTTGTTCTTGTTCCGGAATTTACCTTGTTTGTTATTGACATGTCTTATTAGGATTCCTGCACAAACAGATGTATGGAGAAGTACCTGAAAATGACACAGAGAATATCGCAAAGATTTCAAGAATACCAAGTCCAACAGAATGAAAACGCCATTGCATCACAGACAGGGGTAATGGGACGATAGCGCTGAGATAATTATAAATGAACTGGTGGATTGTAATTGCGATATTTGATACCAACCTCCAGCCACACTCTCCCTGCCCCTATGTGCCCATCCCTGTACAAAACTGCCTTCATTTGTGTAATACCTTGCTGTTAAATTGGTTTCATTTCCAGATTTTAAACCAATACTAGTTATCATGTTCGGCTTGATGATATTTTATTTCCGAGGGCATCTGGCTTGGACTTATGTATTAGTTGTAGATTTCTAAATTGTATTGTTTTTGGATAAATAATAAGTGGAGTGGTAGTCTCGTGGTCTTGTCTTTTATTTGTTTTGATAGTAAGACTAGCCTCACTTATAGTGAATACTTTGAGAAACTGAAACATTGCTAGTTATACTGAACCAACAGAATTGACCGAGTCTTTGATAGTCAGCATGTAAAAGCTCTTTGGCTGGCTAATGGCTCCTAATTGGCCAAACACCATTGACTCCAACAATTTGTACCTGCCAATATTAAACAAAACAAGCTATGCATGGCACAGTCTCCGTTAGTTGTCAAATTTAAGATGTATAGTTTTGTTTATAGTATTATAGCTGGAATATAACAATGTCAGGAATATGATTTTTTTAACATTAAAATGATTGCCATTTGTATCTGATCGTCAAACAAGTACTTCTCCATATTGAGAGATATTGCTCTGGAACAGCATTCAAAATCAGCCATTTTGAATACATGTATATATATAACATGATGTATGACGAATATATAAAATTTGAATAGAATCAGTCAAAGCATTTAAAAGATATGGCTCTAGAAGCCCAATCATTAAAACAAAATGGCCGCCAGTCAGTCATTTTGAATCCAATCTGAAAAACAAAATTATTTGCATCAAGGTCCTATAATGTCCAACGTATATACAAGGTTTGAACAAAATCCATCTGTAAACAGCCGGGAAATGCTTGATTTTTAGCACAAAAATGCCTGCCATTCAGCCATCTTGAATCAGATTGTGAAACAAATTGATGTGCATATGTATAATATCATGCGTGATGTATGAGTGAAGTTTGATTGTGATTGGTCCAGGCATTTCTAAGATACAGGTTCGGACGCACGGACACACGGGGGTCAAAACATAAGTTCCCATTTTCGGACTGCGTTCGAACGAGAACTAATTAATCAGTTTTGGCGAAATCTTACTCAGACATGCCAAATAAATTAACATGGTTGCCAAAATCCAAAACTAAATCAAAAAGCGAAATAATGTGCAGGTATTATACCATCATATCAAAAAGTGACCAAGAAATGAGTGCTCTGAACATACCAAAGTGGTTTCCCAGCTGCTACATTGTATTTTGAATCAAATCACACAACAAAACGATGTACACAAGTGATGATAATACGAGTTATAGTTGTCATACCAAGATTTATTCAAAACAAGATGGCTGTTGATATTAATGTCAATGATTTCAACAAAATTGAACAAAGCATGTCCGAGGAATTACATCCTGCTAACAGATGGACAGTTGGACAAACATAATTACACAGGACTAAAATGGATTAATTAAAATTAATTGTCACTTATTTCATACTCAAAATAGTTAACTTAGCTGGAAATCACTGAAAAGTTTGCAAGATCCAGCAGACAGACATACACATGCAACACTCTGGTACATGTATTTACAGAATCAGAAAACACTG